TCTGCTGCAAATAACTCCTTCTGCTGCAAATAACTCCTTCTGCTGCAAATAACTCCTTCTGCTGCAAATAACTCCTTCTGCTGCAAATAACTCCTTCTGCTGCAAATAACTCCTTCTGCTGCAAATAACTCCTTCTGCTGCAAATATAACTCCTTCTGCTGCAAATAACTCCTTCTGCTGCAAATAACTCCTTCTGCTGCAACTAACTCCTTCTGCTGCAAATAACTCCTTCTGCTGCAACTACTCCTGCTGCTGCAACTACTCCTGCTGCTGCAACTACTCCTGCTGCTGCAACTACTCCTGCTGCAACTCCCGAGTCACGTGGTGTGGGCAGTAGCGGCGATGTTTATTGCCGTATATTTTTCGAACTGTGATCTCGCCTTTTAGTCGGTTGCTTCTGCTCGCACGCCAGCTGCTGCTTCTGTCGGCTAGCTGCTGCTGTTTTTGTGGTGACTGACGGTGATGGGTTTGCTGCCGCAGCTGCGCGGAGAGCTCGATGCCTTGTCTGTTTTTCCCCCCCAAGTCGTAGCGGCAACTTTTCATGCTGCGCATTGGCCTCCTCTCCCTCTGCTGTCGGATCTTTTGGAAACTTCCGAAGAAGGTGGCACCTTGGGGAGGGAAGGCAGTCTCTTGTTAAGGGGTGAACGGCATTCCCAGCATGCGCAGCTGTTGCACGGCCAGGAAGGAGAAGACGCGCGCATGCTTCATCCAGCGAGGCTGTTGCAGGGAGTTCGTCTCCTGCTGCATGCAGCGCGACAGGGGGCTTTTGCCTCAAAGCCGCCCAAACTGCAACACGACGAGACTGAGAACCTTACCCTTGCTGCAGTGCTGCGCAGAGTCTGCGCTGCCGTTGCCGCTGCACTCCCCCATTTCGCCAGTCTGTCACCAGCGGACTGCCTTCTACACTTTGTCAACATCACCCCCAGTCTCCCTGCACTGCTGCGCCTGCAGCAACAAGAGCAACAGCTGCAGCAACAAGAGCAACAGCTGCAGCAACAAGAGCAACAGCTGCAGCACAAGCAACAACATCAAAAGGAACAGCAACAACAACAGCAACAAGAAGGACGGGAGATCACGCTTTCGCTGCACGGACAGACAGTTGAACGGAGGGAGATTTTGCATGAATCTTCTCAGGAGTTGGTCAAGCGACAGCAGCAGCTGCAGGAGCCTACAGGAGGAGCAGCAGCAGCAGACGTAGCTGCCCTCCTGCTGCGGTATGCGCGAGTGGCGATTGAGCGCTGCTGCAGCAGCAGCAGCAGCAGCAGTAAGAGCAGCAGCAGCAGCAGCAGCAGCAGCAGTAAGAGCAGCGGCAACACCCAGCTTCTGACTTTTGAGGAAAGGAAGACTGCAGAAGGCGGGGGAGACGAAGGGATCGACTTTCTGGCCATAGCGGCGTACAGCGACGTGCCCATGCCGCCGTTTGTGATATTTCAGGTGTATGTCCAGCTTCAGCAGCAGCAGCAGCAGCAGCAGCGGCGGGAGTGGACAGCAGCGGAAGATCAGCTGCTGCTCGCTGCAGCTGCCGCAGCACGTGGTGCTCCCCGAGGCTGCAGCAAGTGGATGGCTGTTGCAGCAGCAGTTCCAGGGAGATCCAACAATCAGTGTAGAGCTCGTTACAATTATCTTCGAGTGGTAAGTGGCTGCCCTTATTTGTAGAGGAGGGATGTGACGTGCGTTCTCTTAGGTAGGCACCAGTGCACTGCGCATCCTCTCCTCCGCAGCAGTGACCTCTTTATATACACATATACATAGACGTAGACACATATATACACATATACATATATACATAGACATAGCAGGCATATGTATACACATACATAGACCTATACACACATATACACATATACACACATATATATGGACATACACACATACCCACACATACATAGACGTAGACACATATACACACATAAACATACATATACATACATATACATATACTCACATATATACACATATATACACATATACATACATATACATATTTATACACACAGCTCCGCGCAGTGGTGGATATAGAGCGGCCTCGATCGCGTTCCCTCCGGGAGCACTAAGTCTGAGCAGGAGAAAGACAGTGCAAGATAGCACATGCCAGTCAGACGGAGGCGACAGTTATTGGGGATTGCAGCTCTCTTGCTCCTGCATTGAGAAAGCGGCAGACACCTTTGCATGTGCCTCTTCTCCTGCATCTCTCCGTCTGTCGGGGTGTGCTTCACAGGAGGCGAAACGCCACGGGATGTTTTTGCCTTTCGAGGATGTTTGGCTGCAGCTGCTAGCTACCTGTTATGGTCCAACCTCATGGTGCAAGGCAGCTCGTCATCTGCGCGGGAGAACTGAGATGAAATGCAGGGAGCGGTAAGACATCGAATCGCTTCAATGCGACACCTCGGTAGCTTTTGCTGCTGCCGTCGAGATTTTTCGTCTCTTGCCCTCCTTTCCTCCTAGTCTGTCTTCATGCGCCCAAGTGCCATTCTCTTGGAGCCTCCTTGCACAGCAGGGTGTTCCTCTCCCTCATCACTTTTTTTCCCTATCCATCTCGAAAAAGCATTCGTTCTTGCCTCTTCCATGCCCTCTCCGTGACGCATATCCTGCCGTCGTAGCACAGCAAACAACACTTTCCAACGGCTTTTACATCTTTTGCCAATATACGATCATTTACCCCTTCCCTCTCTCTTCGTGTCTCTACTTGGATCTTTTTGTATATATACGTATATATACGTATATATATATATATACATGTATATCTGCATTTACATACGTATATGTATATCCCCCCCCCTCTCCCACGCTCTCCTCTCTCTGTATGTATATTCCTGTTTCTCTCTCTATATATACATTTCTTTCTCCTTCTCTCCCGTCAAAACAACCCGAATAGACACACTGCGGCCGCTGCTGCGCTGTGCCCTTCCTCGTGCATGCACTTTCGCTGCTGCTGCTGACAGCAGCAGCTGCTGACAGCTGCTGCTGCTAATTCCCCAACGGCTGAGCGGGTAAGAAACACCTTTTGCTACACGAGATGCACAATTCTTGCGCACGGTGCCTCCTCCTCAGGTATCAGCATTGTGTATGCTCTCCCCAGAAGAAGCCTCTTCAGTGGTCACTCGCAGAAGGCGCTCTGCTGCGGGCAGCTGCTGTCTGCTTTGCAGGAGACTGGAAGCGTGTCGCAGTATGTCGGCAGTGTGGAAGCTCTCTCTCTCTGCGAGCAGTTATGTTATTGCTTTCTTTGAGTGCCTTTCTCTGGATGTGTCTCTGTGAAGCGATCGCACGCTGCGTGAGGCTCAGGAGCCCTCGGTGTCGCCAGCCTGTTTCTTTCATCCTGCTCTTTCGGAAGTCTCTTGCTTCTTTCTTCCCGCCATTCGCGTCGTTCCTTGCACGCGCTTATGGAGGAGGTGGCCTTCTGCTTGCATCTATCCATCTTTTTCAGCTGCGCATTTGACCTCCTCTCTCTTGTTTTGTCTGACACATATTCTTCCCATGTCTTGCTTCCTGCCTGACTGCCTGTGAGCCCCTCTGCATCGCTCTCTCTGCTCCTTTCTGTACGCTGCTCTCGGGTGTTCCCCCTCGCGCATGCTGCTGCCCTTTACAAGCCTTCTGCATGCGCCTGCACTTCCGTTCTACCGTCGTTTGCTTGCCTTATCCCTTCCCCTTTGCCCCCTCCATAATGGCCCTTCTGCGGCTGCTCAACGCTACTTGCTCCTGCAGTGCGCATCCAAACCTTTTGTTGCCTCGTCTGTCGCTGTCTCTCTGTGGACGTGTATGTGTATCTGCCTGTGTATGTGTATCTGCCTGTGTATGTGTATGTGTATCTGTTCGTGTATGTGTACGTGTATGTATATCTGTTTGTGTATGTGTATCTGTTCGTGTATGCTTATGTATATCTGTGTATGTGTGTCTGTTTGTGTATGTGTATCTGTTTGTGTATGTATATATATATACATACATATGTCTCTCTCTCTCTTTCACAGTGCATGTGTGCATATCTCTCTCTCTCTCTCTCTCTATATATATATATATATATATATATATATATATATATGCATGTATATCTGTTCTCTCTCTGCATTTTTAGGGTCTTTTTAGGGGTCGTTCTTGGGAAGACTGCGCAGCACACTTTGCTGCAATGGAGCGCGAGGCGGAAACCATGCGCAGGGCACTGCTGATATTTGCCAGTTGGTTTGCCAGCAGCACTCATTCCGGCTGCAGTGCATACACCTGGATACAGACTCACCTCTTGAGGCTGTATGCAGCGATTCGCAGCGGCCTGTGTGCTACGTCATGGCCATCCGTCTCTCCCGAGCTGTCTCTTCAGCAGCGTCAGCAGCAGTTGCACGAGCTTAGAGAGCAGCCGGCACTGCTCTTGCTGGACGCTGCTCCTCGCGTGGTGGGACTGCCCGCTTCAGGCGGAGCTGTCTGTGCAGCTAACTTGACGCTGCTTCACCGGTGAGTTTGGGAGCTGTTGCGCAGGACGTTGCTGCTGCTGAAACTGCCTTCTTCGTGGCGTAGCTGCGGCTGCTGCTGCTGAAACTGCCTTCTTCGTGGCGTAGCTGCGGCTGCTGCTGCTGAAACTGCCTTCTTCGTGGCGTAGCTGCGGCTGCTGCTGCCGAAACTGCCTCTCTCTCGGACGAGAGAAGCTCGCAGTGCCGCTTCTCTTGGGTCGATGTGTGTGTATGTCTGTTCAGACACCTGAGCCGCTGCTTGCAGCACACGTGGGAAGGAAGAGATGGTTCTGGGGGGTGCTCTGCAAGCGTGGAGCAGCTGGCGAACGAGGTCGAGACGGCCTGCGCCTTTCTGCTGCAGCAGCTGCAGCGCGTCTTTCAGATCTCGCATACAGATTATGCCCACCACCCTCTCTCCCACAGGGATGCCTTGGGGGACAGGCAGGGGGCCCGGGGCCCCTCGGAGGGGCCTGTGCTGGGGGCCCCTCGGAGGGGGCCCCCCCTGCCGTCTGACAGCGGGGTGCTTGACGAGGCTGAGGAGGCCTCACTGCCTTGTCTCACGCGGCTTTTTCTGCTGTACCGACATCCCCAGAAAGCCGCCACCCTCGTGCAGGGAATGTGTGGGGCCTTGCCGGAAGGGGCCCCTACAGCGCGAGCTTTGGGGGGGGGCCCCCCCGGGCGACGTGTGTGTGTGGGGCGGACGCTTACTGAGGCCCACTTAGGGAGGGCGGCTGGGGGGGCCCTTAGTCCTGTCGAAGCGCGAGATACGCGAAAGGGGCTTAAAGGGAGGCGGCAAAAGCCGCTGCTGCCTGCCCCCCTCCTTTCGGCTGCCTTCCGCAGCAATGTTGCCACGGCTGCTCTGCTGAGGGAAGTCTCCGCTGCAGGGAGGGCGGAGGCCCCTCTTCTTGCTGCAGCGGCTGCTGCCGCAGAGGACGCCGCAGCCTCGTTGGCGCTGTCCGTCTGGGGAGGGCATGCAGAGGGAGCGGCTGCAGCTCTAACAAGAGCACCGGCTCCGACGGCAGCGATAGAGGCGGAGGTGGATGTGGCGTCTTCCTCGGCTACTGGGGTAAGGGAAGAGGCCCAATCAGAGGAGCTTTCTGCCCCAGCGGCGGCTTGTGCGGCTGGAGCAAAAAGCTCTAGCAGCAAAGCTGCCTCCCGCGAAAGAGCACTCCGCACGGCACGGTCCGTAGAACAGGCAGGATCTGGCTTGACACCTGAAACGCAAAGCCGCCTGCCTCGCGGGGCAGCAGCCAACCAGGGATCTCCAGGGGCCCCCTTTGAACAAAGGGGGGCCTTGGGCTCTCGCGGAGGGGTGGCTGTGCGACGGCTCCGCGGGCGGCTTCCGCGAACAAGGGCTCTCTTAGAGGAGAACCTCCCGTGCGCAGTAGGGGAGGCTTCCTTAGTTTCAGAGACGGGTGCAGAGGCAGTGGCTTTAGATAGCGGGAGCAGTGAAGAATGGGTCGAGCCTCCCCCCCGCCGAAAAAAGAAGCGTGTTCAGAAGGCCCTCAAGAGGCCCCCCGGGAGGCCCCCCCGGCAAGGCGCCTCTCGGCAGCAGTTGCAAAGAGCTGCAGCATCTGGTCCAGCTCCCCAGCCAGCTACTAGGCAGACGGCAGCAGAATCTGCCGCTGCAAGCGGTGCGTCTATCGGGAGGCCCCCAGTTGATTATTCTGGAGTAATGCATACGAGATCTTGTGTAACGCCTCCAGACACCCTTGCAGCAGACCTGGAAGCACCGCCAGCAGCGCAAGCAGAATCGGAAGCACCTTCTGCACCAAGGGCAGCCTCCTCGGCTTCACAAGCAGCAAGCGAGGCAGTAGAGCCATCGCGGGTTGGGGCTGATGCTTTTCCTGGTTTGTTTGTTGGTGAGGAGGAAGCGAGAGGCATGCGGGGTGTCCATTGGACGGTGGGGTTCCCCGTTAGAGATTCTCGGGGAGCCTTTTACGCAAAAGATACTGCGCTTGCACTGATGCAACGCGCTTCGGGGCACCTCGGCAGCAGCAACAGCAGGGGAGGCTAGGGTTCTACTCAAATTGCTAGTGTACAAGACACGCAGTGTTGAATTGGTATACCCGAGGAGGCGTGAGAGACTTGGGCTCTCCAGCCCTGCACATTGGGGGATGGAGGTGTGCGGGTGAGATATACGGCCTCCGTGTATATCATTTTCCCCTGTATTGGTCATGACGCTTTCGTTGTGGAGGGGAAAAGGGGTCAGGCCGATTATGGGGTCGATTTTTGACTCCGGGGCTCAGCTACCAGCTTTTTTTTGTAAAGTAAGAGCGAAACCTGCGCTCCTTTCCGCACACCTGTATCTTCTGATGCGAAGTTCGCTTCTTATGCAGCACAGGAGCAGCTGGTGTGGCAGCAGCTGCTCCCACAGCTGATCTGGCGTGCTCTTCTTGATGCAGCCTTGAGCGCTTGCATGAATGAGCACACTACGGACTGCCTAGGGGGTTAAGAAGGTCGCGTGCGACAGAGAGCAGCACCAGCAGCGTTACTGAGGCTTTGTGGGCCCTTAGAAACGAGAGTTTTACTCTCGGCTAGAGGAATTTGTGGTGCTGTAGAGTGTTATAGGGCCTCTAAAAGACCTGCATGACCCTTTTTGACAATCATCATCCCGTGCAGCGAACCGCTGTACAGGCAAGGAGGGGAGCGCACGGCCACGAGAGCATGGGTTAGCAGGACTATGCGCAAGGTAGAAGCATCTGTTGCCTCCTCACGAATTAACATGCGATTTCAATATCTAAATAATCAACTCTAATGGGAAAGGAGGCCTGATATGAGGGGGATCGAGGTCCCTTGCAAGAGACCTCCAGAGCGCGCGTGTCTGTGGTCACTTCGGGCCACTCGCGAGCTGCTCAGGGAAGTCGCTAAAAATAATTAGGACTTTTATCTTGTCACGTTTGAAAGAAATATTGAAAAATTAATTTTTGAAATGTCATGTAAAGAAGCATATAGGCTACAGAACGCTGGGGTGGCGTTGTCCACGCAGTGCCGTATTAACAGGCTGAATGCGGCTGCCTGGCCAGTGACCATCTTCGCGTTTTACGGAAACTCTAAGGTTTGTAGGTGATAAGTTGGGAATTTTTCATTGAAATAAGCTTAGTATATCTAATTGGGAATGGTTACAACAGCCGCACGGGCTTGTAGACGCTGGATGACTCACCGCTAGCAAGTGACCTTGCTGGCCGCTAAGGGCCTCGAGACTGCGGGCGGCTCCCTGGCAACCTACCCACATTTTTTTGTGTTCTCTCTCTTGTTGCCAGTCTGCTCTCTTCTTACGACTCGAGGATGAGAAACGTAGCGGCCCCCGTCATCGTCCTGCTCGCCTCCCTAGCGGGTGGCGCAGTCGATGCACAGAGCAAAAAGCACGCCCGTTCTTCTGCCCCTGCACCGGCAGTCCCCGAATTCAAGCCAGCTAGTAGTGCGGGAGGGGGGAGCTTCAACAAGGGAGCAGTTGTTCCCCCACCGGTCGAGGTGCCTAGACCTCTTCTGGTAGAGGAGGAGTGCTTTGAAGTTCCGTTCAGCGTCGAAAAGACCTGCTATCGGGACGAGGTTGTGTCACGCCCATCCAGCTGTCCAGCCCCCACCAGCCACGAATTTTGTACTGTGTCACAGCAAGATGCAGAGGGCCGGTGTTTCCGCCTCATAGAAAAGGAGGTTCAATTCGAGTGCCCAAAGGCTTCGCAGCAGAAGCTCTGTGCCAGGGTTCCCAAGACGGTCAAGAAGAGTTGCAGCATTCAAGTGGAGGAGAAGTTTGCCACAACTTGCCCGAAGCAGATTGCCGTGCCTAAGTGTGAGATCGTGGCAAAGCCAGTGGAAGGCACTTGCATCGACTATGAGTCTTACAAGCAAGAGTACGAGTGCTGGGGAAGCGAGACCACAATGGAATGCACCGTGGAGATGAATGTCACCGCCCACAAGTGCAACCGCGAAGTAAAGTCGCCTGAAGAATACGCGTACGAGGAGGTCGTCAACGAGCGCCACTGCAACAAACGCAGCGCTATCGACCAGGGCAAGTGTGTTCGCAGCATTCTCACGGAGGAGCAGTACCCCTGCAACGAGCAGAAGTGGGAGAAGAGATGCTCCGACGTAAAGAAGGTTGTGCAAGAGCCCTGCGAGAAGGAAGTCAAGGGCGTTGAAAGCTATGATTGCAGTGAAATCAAGGTTCAACAAGTCCCGAAGACATGTACCCGCCGAGTGCCCCGCAAGGCGCTGGTCGAAAGGTGCGGCGATTTTAAAAAGAAGGGCAGACTTCTCGCCGGTAAGAAAAGCAAGTGCAAAATGGTGGAAGTCGACACTGAAGAGATTGAGACCTACCCTTGCACCGAAGACGTACATATCTCCGTTCCGAAAGTCTGCACCCGCGAGATTTCGCGTACGCAGCACCTCATGTGCCCGCGTGAGGTGCCCGACATTCAGTGCGACATGGAACTCATTGATATTCCCAAAAACTGCATCCGCCAAGTTACAAAAGAGGAGGAGGTGCCGTGCTCTGCCGTGCATCATTTCAATGAATGCGAGGACGTCCCTCGCAAGGTACCCCGCAAGGGCTACCGTTTTGGCGTCCGCCAAGAAACCTTCGACTGCCCCCGGCACGAGTTCTTCGAAAAATGCCATGAGATCAAAAAGCCTCGAAGAAGCACCTGCGTCGCTACTCTGTTCCGGCATGTGGAAAAGCCTTGCGAGCACCACGAGTTCGAGGAGCTCTGTCACGATGAGGAGCAGACCGTTGACACCCCGTGCATCGATTCGCGCCTCATCGATATCGACTATCCTTGCCCCGAGCAGATCGAAGAGGAGCACTGCGTCAACGTGCCAGCCTACGAAATGGGCACCTGCACCACAGTCATCCAGGAGAGCGAGGAATACCCCTGCCCCAAGCGCGAGCCGAAGATCCGTTGCAAGGACGTTCGAGGAGAACGCAGCGCCACCTGCTTTAAGCCCGAGACTACTCGGGTTCCCTACACGTGCTATGAGGTCGATTTTAAGGAGCAGTGCGTGCAGCTCGCCACTACTGAGGCACCCCCCGCCCCTGTGAAGCCGGCCAAAAAGTAGGCGTGGTGAATATACACAAAAATGATCAGCCGAATGCCCCCTTGGTCTCTCTCTCCTATCACTCGCACACACTCCTCCCAGAGACCATACTACTCTGCAGTTTGCTCGTACGCCGTCCGTCTTAGAGAACACGAACACAACCACCTCCACAAGCCACCAATTTTTAGCAGTGGAAGCGCAATGCGGCGACAACCTCAACTCTTAGCATTTATGATAGCCGATGAGCTTGACCACATCAGCAGCACCGGCTCTCCTATTCTTTTGCAGCCGCTCTATAGGTGAGGATGGCTGGCTGCAATCGAGGGGGGCATCGCGACCTCCCGGTTGCTGTGTGGTTTAACAGTACAAGGCAAGCAAGGCGGTAGTGGGTATGTTTGTGGATTGGGATGCAGCGGTTTTGTGCACCGCAGTGCTCGGTGCGCAGACGCTGTGGAAAACTGCTGCTGTTCATATCCCCCACAAGCCAAGATGGATGACAACATACATATCGTAGGCGCACATAGAAAACTACGAACGCTATGTCGGCACGTTGCAGTTGTTTAAGGGAGGACTGGCGGATAAAAGTAGGGTCTAGAGGAGAGCTACGTGCTTTTAAGGATTTGGTGAAGCACGTGCCTTGCCTCAGCCTTCCTTCCCCTCCCTGCCTACAATAACTCTACTAAAAATACAATTATTCCAAAGCATGCAGCATGGTGTCTTGTGTGCCTCGCTTTTTGTATTCGTGTTGTCGCCTACGTGCCCAAAATTCTACCTACCATCCGCAGGGAGATGGTCTTTGGTACTTCAGCATTCCAGTGCGTGCAATAGTGTACGGTGTGGTGCTGCACTTCCGCGCTTCCGCTAAAATACCCACTGGGAGCAGCCTTGTGCCCTCTTTCAGGTAGTTCTCTATGGGTGGCAAAAGCCCTCTGCGTGACCCTTGCGGGGCATTGGTAGCCGTTTTCGGGTTGTGTGTGGAGGTGGGGGTTCAACTTGCGGAAGAGGGAGAGGGGAGAGAGGCGCCTATTATTTAAGTACTGGACGCCGACTGTGTGAGAGGGTGTCTTTTTCTTCCGTTCGCCGATTTGGCGAAAGAGTGAAAATGCTTACTAACTATTACTCTGCTGCGACGGACTTAACGGGGGATCAATGCTGCGCAGGGGCACGAACACGGGCATTTCTATTTCGGTATAAGTAGGCCAGCCACCCCCCTCCTGTACCGCGCGTCTTTCCGTTGAAATTGAAGGAAAGGTTTCAAAAAACAAAAGGTAGGAATGATGGGTGTTTATGGGTGGGGTTGTTCTCCACTGTGTGGGGACCCGTGGTAACACGGCAGCAGGAGCAGCTGCAGCAGCACGGCGCTGTGACTACTGCTGCTGCTCCTGCTGCCATCAGCTGCTTGTACTGCTCTCTACCTGCTGGAATTTTGCGCCGCTGTAACGAGAACGACCAGGACTGCAAACAGTATTCTTGGTGCGCTTCACTAGATACTTCGAGGAGTTTTTACTGCACTTCTCCCCCAAGCGGTCCACTGGCCCATTGGTAGAACGACGCGGTTCCTGAGATGCTTCTTTCCTCGTCAGTGACCCCGAGCAGCGCGCCACAGGAGTTTCTGACACGCAAACGTTGCTTTAATTCCTTGTTTTTTCCATATCGAAGCTGTTATGCACAATATTTAGAAGTCATGTGCAGCGCTTTGCTCCAGAGCAGCAAGCTCCGCAGTCGGCGCAGCACAGCAGATACACTCCACGCAGACAGAGCAGTGCAGAATTTTCAGTCTGGTCGCCGCATGAAGTGCTGCTGTTTTGTATGTATACCGCTTATTTTTAGCCCCCTTTGTGCCGTAATTGCTGTTTAGGGCCTATTCAGTAGAAGACACTCATCAGAAAGCGCGGCTGCAGCGTGCACAATAGACTTGCTCCAGTGTGGTGGCCCACCAGTGTTGCTGCTGCTGGTGCTGCCGCGTTTCCGTTGCAGGTCTCTTAAACACAGCAGCGTTGCTGCGGAGGGAGCTCAAGTTATTTGCTGGGGCTGCCCATCATCACGCCAGCAACGGGCTTACTGGCCCTCTCTGCCTGACTGTGAGGGAGCCTGTACACCAGCAGCTAAGACAGCGGCGGTGCAAGCGCAACGATGTTGCAGGAACACACGAGGATGCTCAGCAGCATTGGGCGGAGCGGCAGGTCTTTTAACAAGAGAGGGGGCATAAAACTCCTTGGATAACAACAAGGCGCGACACACAACCTCAAAGAATTCCATGTTGTTGCTGGCTGTCTGAGTTTTTCTGCAGGGGCCCATACCACCAGCGCCACCAAAACAGAAGAACTCGTAGCAGCCTCCGAGTTGGAAGCAGCAAAAAGGGCATCCAGAGTGCCTGCGTGGCTGTCCACGTGCTTTGACGCCTTTCTTTCGCTTGTGTCGTCTGTCCTTGGAGTAGCTAGGGGTGCTATTTTTGCTGTTGTTGCTGCTACCAGTGCTGGCGCTGTTGCTAAGAACGGCAACACCCTTAAAACTTCGGTAGATGTCTTTCCAGTGGACTAAACTGCCTATTCGTAGCTCAGCCCACGAGGGCAGCAGGAGAATCCGCAGATACAGCGCCAACCCTAAAAACATCGGCAGTGGTATCTGATTGTGCAGTTGCCGCAAACATTGCGTAGCTCTCACAGCAGCAAACATCTGTAGCAGCATTTTAAGGCCATTGACGCAAAGAGGGTCCAAGTAGAGATGTTGAGGAGCGTGCCGGCTGCTGTTTCGCAGCAGCACTTGTAGCTAAGCATCTAAAGGAGCAGCAGCGTCAACATTCAGTAATTCCTTTCCCAGCTTCAGCAGCAGCAGTTTCTGCAGGACAGATCGCCCTTCTACAGCGCTTCGCAGAAATCCTAATTTGTGTTGCCTACACAACACCTTGGGGGCAGCAGTAGCAAAATGCTGACATTGCAGCTGCCTCCCCGTGACAGCAGCGTCGATTTCACGCCACACGGATACGAAATTATATCCTTTGTTGGTGTGTTATTGTTATCTTTACTACTACTCCTACTCCTACTAATCCTACTACTGCTACTCCTACTAATCCTACTATGCCTACTCCTACTACTCCTACTACTACTACTAGTACTACTAGTACTACTACTACTACTAGTACTCCTACTACTAATACTCCTGCTATTACCGCTACTCCTACTATTGCTGCCACTTGCGTCTCGTGCCTCAGGTCGTGGTCAGTTTGGAGTGGCCTACAAGGTTCGCCGACTCTCCGATTCCAGCGAGTGGCTAGCAAAACAAATCGACTTGAGCTGCCTCGATGAACGAGACAGAAAACTCAGTCTGCAAGAGGCAGAGGTAAGCTCCACGTTTTCGGATGGTGCTCTTTGCTGCCCCTGCATGCGTGTAATCCTGCCGCTGCTTCCTGTCGCTCACACCCCATTCTACAACAGAAAACGGACTGAAAAACACACACACAGACACTCCTTCCAAATGCCTTTCATGACATAAAAATCCCTGCAGGCAGCTGCAGGGTTTTTTTCTAGCTAGATGATTCCATGTAGTGCTTGCTAGCTGCAAGGCCGTTACTTGTCTTGCACCCTCGAAAAAATGTTGTCTCATGTGTATATACATACATCTACATGTAAAGACAGAGAGAGAAAGAGAAAGAATGCAGTCTCTAAACCTCTTCGGGAAACTGCACTCTGCTCACAAAGCGCCTCGCTGTCTTTTCCATCCGTCTGCCGCTTTTACTTCGCATTTGCATGCGCGTCTGCCCTTTTTGCAAGCCTTCGAATTGGACTGCCTTCGGTCCACCCGTGTTTCTGCGTGTACCGCGTTATTTATTAGCTATGAGTCGATTCTTCTGTTGTTTGTTCTTGCCGACTGTATGTCTCGGCTTCCACCTCCCCTGATATCCCCGAAGTACCACCCCCAAACATGCTGCATGCACTGATGCCAATTATGCTGCGTCATGCGCGGGTGATGCCTTGCTGTCTGACCAGCAAGCCTTCTGCCACAGTGTGTGTTCTCTCTCTGTCTGTTTGTTTGTCTGCCTGTCTCTCTCTGTCTCTCTGTCTCTCGCTCTCTCTGTCTCTGTCTCTCTCTCTCTCTGTCTCTCGCTCTCTCTGTCTCTGTCTCTCTCGCTCTCTCTGTCTCTCTCTGTCTCTCTCTCTCTCTCTGTCTCTCTCTCTCTCTCTGTCTCTGTCTCTCTCTCTGTCTCTGTCTCTCTCTGTCTCTCGCTCTCTCTCTCTCTCACTCTCACTCTATGGCCGTTTACGCTTTACGCCTTTTTCTTTCTGGAGAAGCGTAACCTGACTTCTTGCACTTCTCTCTCGCCTCCGCTTCGCTTCTGGTGTTGTGTGCAGCTGATGAAGCGTCTCCAGCATCCGTCAGTAGTGCGATGCGTGGAGTCCTTTGTGATTTTGAATACGTTCTTGGTTATCGTCATGGAGTACTGCTCGGGAGGAGATTTGACCACCTTTCTGGAAGAGCGGCGAGGAGGAGGGGTGTCGACTCCGCGGAAGGCGCAGTCGAGAGACGCATGCCGTGGAGTTTCTGCGTCTTCTCGGCTGCTTGGAGAGCAGCAGATTCTCGAGTGGCTTGTGCAGCTGCTGCGAGGTCTTCGCTACGTTCACTCGCAGCGTGTCTTGCATAGAGATCTCAAGCCCAGCAACATCCTGCTCTCGACGTGGGGGATAGAAAAGAAAAGAACTGCTGCCTCCCCCCCATTACCCCAGGCAGGAAGCGAGGAGGGGGAGGACGAAGAGGAGCACGATGAAACAAGACACTACGGGGAGGAAAAATGCGAGAACGGCGGCGTTTTTCTCAAGATAGGAGACTTCGGAATCAGCAAGGTTATGACAGCAACGCTTGGAGTCGCGAAAACTGCTGTCGGAACGCCACAGTACATGTCTCCCGAGATGCTCGAAGCTCGCCCTTACACCATCAAGAGCGATGTCTGGGCTTTAGGCTGTGTGCTGTACGAACTCTGCACGCTGCGCAATGCCTTCGCAGCAGACTCCTTCATTTCTCTCGTCTGGACCATCGCGTTTGCGCCGATAGAGCCGATCAGCAGCATTTACTCCCCCCATCTCTCGCGTCTCGTCTTTGCCATGCTGGAAAAAGATCCCACAAGACGTCCCTCCCCTTCACACCTCCTTAAGGATCCTTTTCTGGAGGCATTTGCATGCAGACAGCATCCGAGGCTGCCTCGCGCGCTGTCCTTTCTTCCGCAGTCGAGCGGCAGTCCGGAGGGAGAGAGGCAGCAGCAGCAGCCTCTCCTGCTGCCTGCATGCGAATGGCAACCCTCGGAAGAAGATTCTCTAGCCGAAACGCTGCTGCACCCAAACGCTTTTCAAAAAAACCCCTCTGCGAGAGACTTCGTAAACACCCAAAATACACAGCGGCAGCAGCACACGCGACAGAGGGAAAAGTCTCCCCCCACACGGAGAGAGACACGCGCTCCCTCCTTCGCTGTCTTCACCGATGAATATCTTCAAATCATTCTTGGGAGGATCACTCAAAGGTGAGTGAATCGCCTGACGCCTTTCCAAAGGGCCGTAATGCAGCAGCAGCAACAGCAGCAGAGATGCAACTGGGAGCGCAGCAGCAGCAACACCTGACTGTTAGAGGGTCTCCCTCAGGAACACAGGCAGGCAGGCCGGCTAGCTAAGCCTATACTGGGCAACCAGCTAGCTAGCTAGCTAGCTAGCTAAATACGCGGCAAGCAGTCTGCGAGGTGGACTCAGCAGCAAGCCGCGCATGCCAATGGCAGGATATTTTCGATGTTGTTGCTGTTGTTGCTGCAGGATGGCAGACGAGGAGTCTGCGTTGCTGCTGCTGCATCGAGCGTGGCAGAAGACGGCTCAAGAGCTTCCCGCGTCTCCTCAGGATGCTAAGAATGAGACTAATCTTCCTCCTGCTGATGCTACTGCGGCTGCGGGAGCATCCGATGCAGCTGCTGAATCTGCTGCCACTTCCCCGCAGCAGCAAAAAGAAGAAGCCTCAGCTGCTCTAAGTGCAAGCGATGCGGGTTTGTCTGCTGCTGAAGTAAAGGAACTTTTCGGTAAATACTGCTGGAGCCACACATAGAACGCGCGGAGGGGGCTTGTCTCTCTTGCTGCTGCTTGTTTCTGCCTGTCACTTATTCTGATGCTTGTTTCTGCGTGTCTCTCTTGCTGCTGCATCCCTCTGCCTCCCTCTGCGTGTCTCTCTTGCTGCTGCTTGTTTCTGCCTGTCACTTATTCTGATGCTTGTTTCTGCATGTCTTTCTTGCTGCTGCTTGTTTCTGCATGTCTCTCTTGCTGCTGCCTCCCTCTGCGTCTCTCTCTTGCTGCTGCTTGTTTCAGCGTGTCTCTCTTGCTGCTGCATCCCTCTGCCTCCCTCTGCGTGTCTCTCTTGCTGCTGCTTCTTTCCGCCTGTCACTTTTTCTGCTGCTTGTTTCTGCATGTCTCTCTTGCTGCTGCATTTGAGATCTTTAAAGCCAGCAGGGACGGCGTCTGTTTGCGTTTGTTTGGAATACTTCTAGCACTGCTGCAGCCGCTGGCGAGTAAGATCCTTGCGGGTAGAGTTACTGGGTATCTGCCCTTGACATCGCTGCCTCTGCGGCGTCTCTTGCTGCTGTTTGTGTTGCATGCAGAGAGGGCGTTCTCTGTCAGCTGGCTTGAGGCCTTTGTTGATTTAGCCGACGTTTACGTTTCCCAAGTAGAAGTTGGCATTGTGCTTCATCAGCTGCAGAGCCAGTGCCTCTCTCCGGTGTAGGTTGATGGAGGGGCTGCTGCGTTTTCTCCACGGCGCTTGTGGGAAAGAGAGAGAAAAAGAAAGAGAGAGAGAAAGAAAGAAAAAGAAAGAGAGAGAGAAAAAGAGAAAAAAGAGAGAGAGACACACACACACGCCACTTGCGTCTCGAGCTGCGGAAGGTAATGTGTGTTTTTGTACTCAAGAGAGAATGCAGTAAGAGGTGGCATCTGGCAAGGGATGCTGTGCTGCTTGCGCGAGTGTCTCGCAGGTTGACTGCTGGATTCTTCTTCGCGCGGCTAATGCACGAGAAACATGAGGCCTATGAGGAGTCTCTTCTTTGGACTGCTCATATCGTTAGCGCTGCAACATCTCCAGGGGACCACTCTACAGGAGCGCCAGTGCAGCAGCAGCAGGGAGTCGAAGCAGACGCTTTAGGCACAGTGCATAGCGTAGTTGTAGGAAAGGAAGCCCTTGCGGCAGCTTTCTCTTTATTCGATACAAACAAATCTCAGCTGATCACTCGGTGAGGTGCTACGCGAACTGTCCTCTTCTGCCATCGCCACGACGCCTTCCTGCTGTTGCTGCTCTTGCTGTTGTTCTTGCTGCTCCTGCTGTTGCTGCTCACGTGCTGCTGCTGCAGGCGAGAAAGGGAAAGGTTTTTGTTGGTGGCTCTGCTGGCTTGGCTAGAGTGCTGCGCTTGCTGCTGCATGCTGCGTGTCTGGCAAGCATTTTGCCTCTGGAAAATAAAAAGAGAGAAACAGAGAGAAAAAGGAAAAACAACTCTCTCGAGTCTATCGCACCCTTCGGAAAGATCGATGGCCTTATAGGGCTTTTCGCGGTGCTGATTGCGCCTTCTCGCAGGCAGCATTTCCGCACAGTGTTGCATGTATGCCTCCCTTCTTTGTCATCCCTGCTGCTGGATAAAGCCTACCAGGTTACACCGAAAGACAAGGCGGGGAATGTAAAGTGAGTGGAGGCCTTCCTTTACAGGAGCGTCGGATGCCAGCCTCTTGCAGCAAAGAGTCTTTAGCCAAAACGCGTCAAAAATACAAATCCAAACGCAGAAAAGCACGGAAGCAAAATGCACAAGAGTCACAAAGTCCACGCTCTTCCTGCGTAAAGAGGGAGAGATAGAAAGAGATATATATGTGTAAATATAATTATATATACATCTAGAGCGAAAGCGAGATACACATATATACACCTTCATATCTGCATTTATATATATGATAAAAAGAGCATGAAAAAAGGGCTAGTTCGGTGCGCCTTGTGCTGCTTGTAGAGGCACACAATCCTGGATAAATGGATAACAAACGGCTATAGGCTGCATGCATCTACCCTCTTCTCCCAGATCCACCTTTACCCTCGTGCTTCCTCACCCCTCCCTTTTCCCGTGGATTTCTGTATTTTTTTCGCGCAGGTTCACTTTGTGGCTGCAGCAGCTCACCGTCCTCACAACGACAGCCACCCTAACGGCAGCAGACGGAGAAGAAGAGACGGCTTTGCAAGGCACTTCCACTCCTCTGCCACGTACAGCAGAGGCTGCTGCAGCTGGCGATGCTCCTTCTGCAACTGTCTGCGAGGGTTTTGCGGGGGAGTCTGTTGCATGTGGCACAGATCAAGCGGCACACGTTGACGTCGCGTTTGCTGCAGCGAATGCCTGCGCTGCAGAGTCGCAGACACCCTTTTTGCCCGCGAATGGTAGCAGTATACCTGCGGAAAGGGACGCTCAAGCAGCAGCAGCAGCGGCTGTCGCAGTTCGCCACTCACAAAGCTCATCAGACGCTGCTGCCGTTCCTCAAGAGGCGAGGCTTTCGCAAGCGGCAGCAGCCTCCCCAGCTGCGTCTGAAGCATGCAGTCCATGCTGCACACCAGGGACAGACTCTGAGAGAAGGGAGGAGGAAAAGCTGACACCCGCATCATCAGCAGCAGTAGCAGTCGTGCATCTGTCCTCCTCAACTCCCGCGACAGATGCTGGACGGCAGCAGCAGCAGGAGCAGCAGCAGCAGGAGCAGCAGCAGCAGGAGCAGCAGCAGATGCTCGCCAAGTGCACTTCACCCGACAGGGGACTGCGCCTTGCGTCTCGTGTCTCGTCTTTTTGTGCATCTCCTCAGGAAGGTCTTCCACAGCGCCTCCATGCGGTTTGCATCAAACACAAGGAGTGCAACCTCCACAGCAGCAGCAGCGAGAGCAGCAGCTCCCCCGCTTCCTCCTCCTCCAGCAGCAGCAGCAAGGGCAGCGACGTGAGCCTCAGCACGCCTCAGTGCCTCTCGAAACCGTCTGCCACTCCCGTAATCGACGGCAAAAATCACAGCGCGAGAAGCTGCGGAGAATGGAAGCCTCAACACACGGTTCTCGGAACGACAGCTACCTGCTGCCCCTCCCCCTCTTCGCCCTCCGCAGCGAACTCCCCAGACTTCGCCACTCCTAGCAACTGTCTCTCCCCACGTTTCTTGCCTTCGCCCTTTGCCTTGTTCCCCCTCGGGAACCACAGCCGCAGCAACACCAGCAGCAAGAGCAGGAGCAGCAAGAGCAGCGGCAAGAGCAGCAGCAGTTCCTCGGGCATGTCGTTCGTCGGCGAAGGGGCAGTCTCGACAGACTGCTCTGCACATAGGCCGTTGCAAGAGGCCACTCCGAGACACTTCCCGTCTTTCAAGCCTCCTGCGACTCTCACACAGCCTGGAATGCCATGCTCGACGTTCTCCAAGCAAGCCTCTGACCTCCGCTTGGACTGCTGCACATCCTTCGTCCTACGCCTCCCCTCAGATGCTCCGCATCATCTTGGCGAATCCTTTGCTGCCGATGCGATGCTGCCAGACACGCTAAGCCCTCCTCCACGCATTCCCCTTCTTCAAACTCCCGCAGTAGTAGCGGCTCCTTGCAGCGAACTACTGCCTTGCAAGGGCAAGCCCCAGTCATCGCCAGGAGAGCAGAGGGAGCAGCAACAGCAAGAGCAGAGGGAGCAGCAAGAGCAAGAGCAGAAGCAACAGCAAGAGCAGAAGCAACAGCAAGAGCAGAAGCAAGAGCAAGAGCAGAAGCAAGAGCAAGAGCAGAAGCGAGAGCAAGAGCAGAAGCAAGAGCAGTCTCAGACAGCAGCCGCTATCGCACTTGGCACATGCGTCTACAGACAAATGCAGCGCACTCCTTGTGAGGAAGCCTTCGTCTTTGAAGGCGCATTGTCACCTCCCGCCGCTTCTGCTTCAGTCCCTGCTGCTAGCACTGTGCATGCACTCGACAATCAGACGTTGCTGATAAGGCCTGAGGCAACCACGACACGTGGCTGCCGTTGCATGCCTGCTCCACCTCTGGCTTTCTCTGTTGATGCCTTCGGAGCTCGCCTCAACAGCCTCCCAGCAAGCGCTGATGAAGCTTTCGAAAAGCAGCAGACGCTGACATACGGCTACCAGGAACCCCTTCGCCTAGCAGGCTGTGCGACCTCTGGCATTTGCCGCTCTACCCCCGAAGGCTTACCCGTCATTAACCGCTCGCAACGCAGTTTCCAGAGCTGCAGAGACTGCAGCAGCGATTGCAGCAGCGAGTGCAGCAGCAATTGCAGCAAGGATGACTCCCTGCAAAAGAGGAAACTCGGTGATGCTTCAGCACTGGCCTGTGGCAATGTGTGTCTCTTGAGCTGTGAGACGGGTCCCCCTAATAGCGTGCCGCCTTCTCCTGAGCAAGAAAGGCTTCGCCATCCGCAAGAGCAGCACCTCCAGAGGCATACAGCTTTGCACCGCCAAGTAGAAGTGCAGCGTCATGCGCAGGTGCTGCAGCAACAGCAACAGCAAGAGCAACAACAACAGCAAGAACAACAACAACAGCAACAGCAAGAGCAAGAACAAGAGCAACAACGACAGCAACAGCAAGAGCAACAACGACAGCAACAACACGAACACCAACAACAGCAGAAACAACAACACGAACACCAACAACAGCAGAAACAACAGCAAGAGCAGCACCAACACGAACACCAACAACAGCAGTCTATCTCCCTGCCGCAGGCTCACAGGTTGCAGCACACGGAAAGTGCTTCTCCTCCTTCTGTTGTTTCCTTAAACACCCCAAACAGCATAAGCATCACCAGAAAGTGCCCCTCTAGCGAAGACATGCGGCACTCAAGTGCCTGCTGCTGCCGTGCTGCAACAGCGGAGGCTTTCCAGCGCAGCTTGCCAATGCAGAAGGATCTGCAGCACCTGCAGCCGCCCCAGCCTTTGCTGCAGCAGCGGCAGATGTCGCAGCACACCACACTCCAGGAAAAACTGCATCTGCCTTCAGAGGGAGCCCAGCAAATTCACACGCCTCCCATGTCTCCCCCCCCGTACAATTTCCTGCAGCAGCAGCAGCTTTTGCTGCAGCAGCCTTTGCAACAGCCGCAGCTCCAGGAGTCGGTGCTGCTGCAGCAGCACTCCTTGAAGCATCCTTCTCCTCTCCAAGTCTTCGGCGCGCATGCAGCGAAAGCTCCTCTTCCGCATGCGTCTATGGCCAGCCTCGAAGAACCCTCTCTCCACGACACAGAAGGCTGGGGGTGCAGCTGCAGCACAGCGACAAGCAGCTCGACTCGAGAAAAAGGCAACATAGCAGGGTGTCTAGGAGTGCAAAACAACGCGCATACCGCAGCTTCCCCTCCGACGGCTTGCTCCTCCCCACAGGCCCCTCCCCCCGCCTGCAACAGCGGCAGCAGCAGCGGCAGTAGCAGCGGCAGCAACAGTTCAACTTTCCGCTGTATCGACAGCATCAGCATGTCGCCTCCACCCCAAGGAGACCTCCTTGCTGCTCCCTCCATGTGCGTGGAAAATCGTTCAAACGCTGTAGCAGCGGCGGAAGCCATAGTCTCGGAGCTGCCCTTAGTGCGAAGTCTGCTGCAGCTGCTGAATGCAGAGCGCATGGCATGCAGCAGCGCAGCTCTCAACCCCAGCGAGGACCTCCTGCTGTGGTGCATAGACACCCAAGCGGCGACACGTGCTGCACTTGCCGCCTTTTCGACAGCAGCAGTGCAAGGCGACGGAGGTTCTAGGGAGCAGCACCAGCAGAGACACGCACTGGCATGCGAGTGGCATGCAAAGCTGCAGACGCTGCAGAGATTGGCAACTTCACAGCTGACTGCGCTGCATGCAAGCCAGCACCAACACCAACAACCCCAACAGCAAGGCGAGCTGCAGCATTCGCCGCTGAGCAGCTCGCCGTACCAGGGTATTACTTCTACCACTATCACTAGCGCTGGCGTTGAAGCAGGATCAGCAATAGCCTCAGGCTTCGCCATCGCGATAACTCTAGAGCAACAGTATGCAAGCCTTGCTCGCTCCATTCAGTCTCGCAGCATTGCTGCAGCAAGAGCTCTAGAAGAACTCTGCTCAGATGCTGAGGTGTTCGTACACCTGACCATCTTGCGAGAGCAGCTTATTCAAGAGTTTGTCGTCGGTCTAAGAGTGGCAACAACAGCAACAACAGCAGCAACAGCAGCAACAACAACAACAGCAGCAACAGCAGCAACAACAACAGCAGCAGCAACAACAGCAACAGCACCGCCTCTCTATGCAGATGACATGAAGCATTTTGTGCATCTGGTGGCAGAGAAGAGGCGACTGCTGCTGCAAGCTTTAGGCTTTTCAAGACAGCATGTGCAAGACCAGCTGCAGCAGCAGATTCCAGTGTTGCAGCGTCTTGCCGCGATGGAGGATGCACTGTGTAGAGGCTGCAGCATTAGCAAGGCGAGCTGGTTGCATACCGCAGCCGCTGCAGGCGCTGCAGTGGACTATGTCATTGCCGATATCCTCCATGATATGACAGCCTCGATTCGACTCGCGCGCAAACAGTGTGACACACTGCTGCTGCAAACGCAGAAGCGAGAGTGCTTTCTGCACCAGGATGATGGGGTGCTGTCACGACAGCAGCGTCGCCATAGACGGTGCACTACTCCTGCTCTGCCGTTCGCTGCCGCCTCCCCCCCCCTCCCCCCTCCTGCAGCAGCAGAGTCTGCCTATCCCTTCCTACCTTCGCTGCTGACTTTCAGTCCCCTCTGCTGCTTCGTGCCGCAGCAGCAGCTGCAGCAAAGGGCATACCCCCACTGCCCTTGGCCGCTTGACGTGCGGCACTTGCCAGCGGCAGCAGTTGCAGCAGCAGGTGCAGCAACAGCGAGAAAGTCTTCCGATGAGGAGATCCAGAGAGGCATGCACCTGCTGCAGATCCCCAAGATCAACTGCTGCTGCTGCAGCAGCAGTTGCAGCAGCGGCAGCCTCAACAGACACGTCGGCAGCTGCAACGCGTGTGCTCCGAGCAGCGGCAGCAACAGCACTCCCGGCTGCATGCAGTCTCGGAGACGCTACAGCAGTCCTTCCCGCATGTGGTGGCTTGCCTCCGCAACACACGCTGCAGCAGCGGAAGGCGTCTGCTGCAGCAGCACGCGTCAGTACGCCGCAGCGGCGGGAGATTTCTGGCCTGACTCCTGCTGGGAGCAGCAAGAACGTCAGCGTCAGGTGCTAGTGCATGCTCAGCATCTGAAACACCTCACGTGCCAACAGCCGACTTCGCCTCCCCTCACCACACACCTGCAGCAGCAACTCGAACGCCAGCATCAGCAGACTGCACAACAGATGTCACTGCGCGCTGGGGAGCAGCGAGAGCACAGACAGCAGCCGCTGCCGCTGCTGCCCGAACAACACGCCATGCGAATGGGAGCTTTCCCTGATCTCGAAGCGCTCTCACTTCCCCCAAATTGTATGCAAGAGCAACAGCAGTCTCTACACCACGGCCAGCAGCCATTGCAGCAGCCGCTGCTCCTGCAGCAACAAACGCTGCTGCCGCAACCGTACTAACTCGATCTATACTGGGTGTGTGTGTGTGTCTGTGTCTGCCTTCGCGCTAGTTGTTGCACTCACGCCACGCTGAAAAAAACGCAAGGCTCCCTAAGATTGCAACTAGTGTGCTACGCAGAGAGAGAGAGAGAGAAACGCAGCAACAGGCACGAAAGCTTTTCGGCAGGTGCAGCGTAGCGATTCGTAGGTGCGCGAAAAACAACACGCCTGTCTGTCTCCCTGTCTCTCTCTCGCAAATAGTCTGCGGTCTTTTTGCCTAGAGATGCAGCAGCGCCTCAGTAGCAATCCGTAGCGGCTGTATTAACACAGCGAACGCACAGATGCCGCCGCCTCCCCAATGCGCTGCTGCAAAAGGGGCATAGACGCGTGCAGCAGTGATAGATAATAACGCAGCCAAGGCGGCCTTAAAAACTGAAGGCTACAAGGTCCATCCCTCTCTCCAGTATGAGCAACAAAAGCAGCAAAGAAGGCAGTGGCAGCTGCTGCGAAGCGTGTGTGTGCATTAGTGAGTCGCAATATGCAAGGAATGAGTCGCAATATGCAAGTCCATACCCACGCGCTGCAGCTGCACAGCCGCAGCCACGCCTCCCCACGCAGCAGCTGTTGCTGCTTGCAATTGATTCGTTGTTGTCGCTCTGCAGGCGAACCTGCAGCCGCGCACTTTATTACTTGCCCTGTCTCCGTGAGAGCCTCCACGCGTTCGGTTCTTCGAATCGGTTGTACAGAGGCTCGATGCGCTCGCGCATTTTTCTCCGAGAGAGACGCTGCTGGTCTGCCTGCAGGCAGCAGCAGCATCCCGCAACGGCAACACAAAAAGCAACAGCAGTAGCACCGTATAGGGGGATAAAAGCACGTGCTTCTTCACCACGAGCAACACACGTGACTCGCATGCGCTACGGGGGCTAGCAGGTACATGTGTGCCATTAGCAGTAGCAAGAACAGTAAGAGCAGCACTGGCACTTGCAGTAGCAGGAGCACGAACAGTAAGAGCAGCAGCACTTGCAGTAGCACAACAATAACGGTAAGAGCAGCAGCAGGAACAGCAGCAGCGCACTGGCTTGAAGAGCTTGGGGGCGACGTCACACAGCCACAACGGCTCGATCGTACAGCAATCTCGCAAGTATTCCTTGGTAGTCAGAACGAGTTCGTGATACACCAACCACTCTGGATTGCTGCAGCGACAACAAGGACTACAGACCAACTAAAGCAGCAGTAGGGAAACAGCCGTGCAGCTCTCGTCCTGAGGCATCGTGTTGTGCAACGGAAAGGGCTGAGGCTCCAGACAGACGGAGAAGGAGCAAGAGGGGACGGCGTCGACCTCTATTGCTCTGTGCAAGGATATCGGGCAGGCAGCTGCTTTTTACCGGTTGTAGAGAGCGCTTGAAGGGTGCATAAAGACCTGCTGATGATCTACAAGAGTTCGATAACCTTCTTGAGGATCTACGCGACAGGCGTGGCGAAAGAAGCCTGCACAGATGCATCGCCCTGCAAAAATGCAGAGCAGCAGCAGCAGCAGGAGGTACAGCATAAGAAGATTCACGTATCTACCTTCACCCCTAGCTAAGTAGGTGATCTCACCGAGGTGCTACTCTAAAGGACTACAGAGACTGCCACAAGCACCACTTCATAGCTGCCACTTTCACGCCACTGCCGAGCAAAACTTAACTTGACAAATGTCGAGAGGTGTACCTCCACAAAAATATCAGCAGCCGCATACCGACAGCTACACCTCCAGAAAACGCATTCTGCGCTTACGAATTCGCTTGTAGTCATTTCCAGCCGAAATAATATCGAGTTTGTATCTGTCCATGATCGAGATGAGCTGCTTTCTCACGTCTTGAGCCCGCCGCAGAGCGCGATGCTGCAGAAAGGAGGAAATATCCAACACATGCAAGGAGATGCGAATGCAACGCTGGACGAGTAGCCGCCATCTGAAACTCATTTCCCACCTATAAAGCAGAGCCTAAGGGTGGTGTTGTGCGCCTCTCTAAGAACCAAGCCAGGCCCCCCGTTTCTCCCCCTATCTTCCCCCCTATCTTCTCCTTCCATTTCTCCCCCTATCTTCTCCTTTTCGCCTGTAATCTGTTCCACTGCTCTCCTCCCCCCTCCCCCCAAAACAGCGTCTAGAGAGGCAGCCTTGAAGCAGCACTGCCCATGCTGCGGAAGCGCATTCGACAGCTGAGCTCGTAACCACGGCATGAAGTCACGGCAAAAAAGGAAAGAAAAGGTATATGTGCGTGTGAATGTGTGTGCAAGGCCTACAACAGACCTGGATGAAGTTCTCATAGCACCACGCATTGCTGAATCTGTTGCGTTGCCATGCACGATACAACTCGAGATACGTGATATGATCGCCTTCCGGTTGATGAAAGCCACTTTTCTTTTGATCAGCAAGGGCCTGTCTATCCTGCAGCAGAAGCCACAGCAAAAACACTACAGCTGTACGATCAAAGGACGTCCAGAGGACGTCATTTCAGCATATAAACCCAAACAGATAAACAACAAAAACAAGCCGCAAAGCGCGAATGCACGACTCCATCCGCAGCAGCGCCCATACGAGTTGACACCCAACAAGAAGGGGCCGCTGCTGGCAAATATTCTCGCTGCACGCTAAACCTAAATTCATACATCCATCCTTTCCATCTATCCCTCCGATCTATTCGATCTATCCCTCCCTCCCTCTCTTTTTCTTTTCCTCATCCCTCCCTCTCTGCGCCCGTTTGAAGGCCCTTTGAGGGTTGGTTCCCCCCCGAAAACAACGCCTTGCAGACTGCTGTGTCTTCTGCTTTTTGCGCAGCAGCAAGGCACCCGCAAGGCTACTACTGTACCTTAGGTCTGTAAAACACGTTCTGCACGGAGAGCATCGCCACGATAGTGATGATCTCGTCACTGCACTTGAGATCCACCGACGTGAGCAGCATCTTGCTGAGCTGAGGCTCCATAGGAAATTCCGCCATCTTCCTCCCCAGCTTTGTCAGTAGGCCTTCATCGTCCAAAGCTCCTAGCTCGAACAGTGTTTCCAGCGAGTTGATGAGGGTTTGAACGGGAGGAGGATCCATGAAGTCAAAATTCAGGAGATCATTAACCCCCATGGCCTTCAGCAGCAGAACCGTGTTCTCCAAATTGGTGCGTTGTATTTCAGGAACTGCAGTCGGCAACATCTCGCAGCGGTAGGCTGCCTCCGTGTACAGCCGATAGCATTTACCAGGCCCTGAGGCAAGGAGACAACAACCGCGCACAGTCACGAAATGAAAGACGCAGGAGACAGAATGCAGAGGCATACAACACAATACAAGGCAAACAAGAATAGCTCCTCTCAACGCTCAGTAACACAACATAGCCCTCTTTTTGAACCGCTCAAAAGCCGCAAGAGGCAGCCTCACACTCCCCTTCCCTTCCCTTCCACGCCCTCCTCCCTCTCTTGTATTTCCCTTCACACTCCCTCCCTCCCCTTTTCTTTGAAACTCTGCGTCGCCACGCGAGCTGCCTCTTCAGGCTCAGGCAACCAGAGACACAAACCCCTCTCTGTCTCTCTCTCTGCTACACGGCTCAGCTGTCAAAGCAAAACGGCAATATATATATATATATATATATATATATATATATATATATCTTTTAAAGCGGTCGTTGCAAGGCACACGACAGAAAGGTGACAACCTCCAGAAATGCAACACCAACAAGACGGAAAGGGGGGCCAGACCGCTTGAAAAACACGTCTTTCAAATAAAGACAAAAAATACACACCTGTACGGCCTGCACGCCCAGCCCGCTGCCGCGCATTCGCTTGACTGATGGGCGCAACTGTAAGAGCATCCATTCCAGACTTCGGATTGTACATCTTGACTTTGGCAAATCCGGGGTCGATGACGAAGTAGATCCCTACGTACAAACACGGCGCAGCCTCAGCTCCACCCCCCCACGTTTGCCTTCTACAAGTGCGTGAAAAAAAGGCGCCTACTTACAGCACCCCACAGACCGACAGAGACAAGCACACATCATCACAGTCCTGCCCACACGCTACGGCTCCATGGGAGACCACACAATTCAAGAAAACCTCCCTAAAAATCCTCTTTCCTCTTTCACCTCCCTGCCTGCGTTTCTTTCGCCTCCCTGCCTGCGTTTCTTTCGCCTCCCTGCCTGCGTTTCCTTCACCTCCCTGCCTGCGTTTCTTTCACCTCCCTGTCTGCGTTTCTTTCACCTCCCTGCCTGCGTTTCTCTCGCCTCCCTGCCTGCGTTTCCTTCACCTCCCTGCCTCCCTCCCTCATTCTCTTGCCTCCCTCCCTAATTCTCTTGCCTTCCTCCCTCCCTCCCTCATTCTCTCTCTTCCCTCTCTCTCCCCATTCGCGCGCAACACGCAGCCGCACACCGGCTCTCGCCCCCCTCGTTCAGGGAGACATTTCCTACCATCGATCGTGAGGGACGCCTCCGCAATGTTGGTAGCCACTACACATTTGCGGCAGCCTGGAGGCGCAGGGTCAAATATCATAGTTTGCACCTCGGAAGGAAGGGCAGAATACACCGGCAGGATGATGAGAGGCGGAGGGTTAGCGGACTCCAGCCGCTGCATGCGCTCGTGGAGAGTCTGGCAGGTAGTGTCGATCTCTTCCTGCCCGGTAAGAAACAGCAAGATATCCCCCGGAGGCTCGCAGAGATGAATCTGCAGAACTGTAATGAGCGCAGCCTCCACATAGTCCGTCTCAGGCTCCTTCGTGTACAAAATCTCCACGGGAAATGTGCGCCCTGGAATCGTAAAAATGCTCGAGTTAAAAAAGTAATTCGAAAACTTCTCAGCATCGAGGGTGGCCGAAGTCACTATCAACTTGAAGTCGGGACGCTGTCGGCAGCACTCCTGAAAGCAGAAACAACTCCCCCACAAGCGCCTTGAAGCCAGGCGCTACTGTCAAGACACCCCAACCGCTCGCGCGGAAACAAGCGCTCGCCAAAGCGAAAACTTCAACAACAACAACAAACCCACATACACAGGGGGGAATGATGGAAAATACATATACATCCATGCACATCTATAGATGTATACATCTACAGGAGACTAGCCATGTACATACCCACACACACAAACATGGAATATATATATGTATACATAAATTTACCTAGACACATATAGACAGACACAGAAAAACGCATACAAATCCTCTCCCTAATGGCGCACGTGGTACACTGCCCTTCACCCCACACCACATTACGCCTCTCCGCACTGGGAAGCTCATAGTTGGCCTTGTAAAACCCCTAACTGTCGCTGTTTCCTCCATGTCCAATAAGAAGAAAACACGCGCATGCAGGAGTCGCAGGTACACCCTACACCGCAACGCCAGCCGAACAGGTCCCCCCTCAGGCTTCCCCCCTCCTGCTGCTGCCCCCATCTGAAGGAAGGCTAGAAAGTGTAAAGACACCCTACGGAGCTTTGGTGCGGCATGGATAATCTAGCAACTTGAAAGGTGCAACGGGCAGTGAGCGGAAGCGCAAGGCAGAAACAGAGAAGGCCGAAAGGCGATCCCCATATAAACACGCAGGAGGCAGAGAGAGAGAGACACACACACACACACAAACACAAACACACACACACAAAACATACACACATATACACGCACACACACAAACAAACAAACAAACACACACACAAACACAAACAAACATACATACACGCACACACAAACAAACACACACACATACGCAGAACCGCATGCATCACCCTAAAGCAAAAAACACACCGAATGCGGCTGGAAGACGGTGGACCCCGCCGCAGACCATGGGAGAGAGCGCACATAGAGGCAAAGATTGGAAAGAGGAAACGAACGTGAAACAAGAGAAAAGAGGAGACGTATTGAACTGTAGGGAGGGTATCTGTCGTCTACGCAGTGGTGCACGCAGCCGTCACCAGCCTCCCCCATGTTCTATATGCCGCTTCTTGCAAAAAGGAAAAAAGCCACGCCTGCATTACTGCAGAAAGCACAGCCCAGTTCGCGTGCAACACGCGCAAAGAACTGCGGCTGGCAGCAGCAAATAACCGCCGCAGCCGTCAGGGGAAGCGGGAAGGAGGTAAGGCCTATATATGCAGATGCATGCAACAGAAATCTCCAACAGAAGACAGACACTGTGACCCTTCCTGGTTGCATTTCTACAAAATTTCATGAGCCAAAAAAGAGTAGCCACCCTTAGCAAAAAAGAAGAAGGCGCGTCTGACGCGTGAACACAGCAAGTGCATGCGACTCCCAAACCTCTCTATAAGCGCTCAAAGGTAGAAAGCGAGTATAGCCAAGCAAAGCGCAATACATATAGAAACACATGCATACGTATATATATATATATGCATATGCATGCAAACAGGGGGGTGCGAGGAGGCCTTCTTTTTTACATACGTGTGAATATAACGGTGCGAAAACACGACTTCACCACATCGAGAGAGGTTGCAGCACAGTGTGTATATGCCAGCAGCTCCTGTTCAACAGGAAGGCCCCTAGATTTCACGATCACATATACTCGCAGATAGAATTTCAGACAGTGGAAATGTCACTGCGAGACACTTCTTGAAAGACAAGCTCTTCTCCAAAGCACAGTCGCGCACGCGATAGCGAGACTCCACAGAGGGCTTTCTTTCCCCCCTGACTACCGCCTGCCCCTAGGAGAAAAGAAAGATACATCCTTTCTCAGACACAAACGCGCACAGCGTTGCATGCCTCCATTCAGAAAGCCCCTAAATCCTCAAAGCCACGCTCATCCTGCGGAGCGAAACGCGCACCAATCTAGAACCCCACCCCCCCAAACCTGAACGAGACACTCACGCCACGAATATTTCGCCCCTACATGCAACTTTTTTCGGAGGCATCCCCTCACCTTGAGAAGTCCAAACAGCACATCCGTGCTTATCGTTCTCTCGTGCGCTTCATCGAGCATCACCACCGAATACCGCTGCAAGCGAGGATCAACAAGGGCCTCGCGAAGAAGAAGGCCATCTGTCATATACTTTATGATCGTGTCAGGCGATGTACAATCCTCGAAACGGATTGAATAACCAACCTGTGCACCCCCACCATACACACAGATATCCATATATATATCTACATATCTACATAAATACTCATGTATATATACGTATATAAATACTCATGTATATATATATGCATGTAAATACTCATGTGTGTGTATATATATATGCATGTAAATACTCATGTATATGTATATATGCATATAGAAACTCATGTATATGTACATATGCATATAAAAGCTCAAGTCTCTATGTGTGTGTATATATATTTATAGGTATGCATATAAAGACTTATCTACATAGACGTGCAGACAAATACGTATGTATATATATACACACACAGTTATGCACAAATAGCTACACGTCCAAACAGTAGGCCGCAGCGTCTAGGCCCAAAAAACTCTTATTTAACGCTGCCACTCCGCATGCTGACTTCCTGTCCAAGTCTGCATCCGAACTCCTCTGCAACACGCTTAGCGACGCTCATAGCGGCAACTCTTCTCGGCTGAGTGCAGCCAATAAGACGACCTGGAGAGACGAAACCCGCTTCGGCCATGTACTGTGTCATTTGAGTCGTCTTCCCTGATCGCATTCAGCAGCAAAAGCAAGCACGCCGCTATCATGACACAAGCTCACGAAGACACAAGCTTACGAAGACACACGTGACAGCCAGCAGATTATTCCCCCTCTACGGCAGGCCCTGTGCAGCTGCTGAGCGACATTCTCCTCGCAGCAGACTCTGCTTGCTCCAAGAAAGGCAGCACCCGCTTTTCTCCTGCCCAGCAGCCGAAGTCAGTCTTATACGCGAAGGCGGGGCAGCATCGACAAAATGCATGCACGGATGCGCCAACAAGACCCCCCTCTTTGAGGGTTGCTAGAACCGTCCTCAAAAACAAACCTCTTGAAAGCAATCCCCATACAGCTCGAAGAAAGTGCCCCCCTTTGCTGCGTCTCTTACCGCTGCCTGTCTCCCCAATGACCACAAGAACTTGATTCTCTGTGATTGCCTTCAAAAGCTGGTCTTTGAGTTTGAAGATTGGCAGTGAGCGCCGCTGCTCGGCAATTGACAGCGTGCTCTTGATGCCAAAAGAGACGTTCTTGCCCAGATAAAGTTTCTTCCACTCAGGCATCTCATAGCCTGCACAGCCAACGCATGCACGGGGGCAGCGAACGCAGCAGCTCCACACCACGGCTCGATTTTGAGGGAGGCAGCCAAAGCAGCGAACTCCCTTCTTCGAGACGAGAAAGAACTTTCAGCAGCACGCGCAGGAACATAACAAGAGAATATTCCCCGCATGCTGCTGGGGGAGGGAGCAAGACAGATATGAATTGTCGGCAACAGCGGCACACCCCCGAGGGGAAGCGATTCAAAGGCCAGCAGCATCACGCGTCAAGAGCAGCCGCTACGTCCTAACAGCAGCAACAACAACAACAACAAAATAGCCTCTTCGAGATGCGACATGCACCTGTCTGCCCAAGACCTTGCAAAGCCTGCGCAATCGTTCTTTCTCCAGGCTGAGGATTAGGATCTTCCCACGGACGAGACATGTCTTTGGGGATAGAATCCAAGATCGCCGCTTCTTGAGCTTGCCTGCAAGAAGGCGTAAAGGCGGAGGAAAAACACTTCGGAAGGCTGGCAGCCGCTACCACAAAGCTGCCAAAGGCACGTAGGAGGCAAGCTGCGCAGAGAAGACTCTGCGGCTTTGGACACGCACAGACACCAGCACCTCCCACCAGATAGAGCACCCAGTGGCAGACAGGAGCAGCAGCAGCAGCCCTCATTTGTTGGAAAAGTGAGCGTCCGACAGCTGGGTGCAGCAGAGGGGCAGCGAGGGCAATACAACGCACAGACAACGATTGGACCCGGAGGAGAAAGGGGAGAAATAAGAAGCAAACGGAAACGCCAGTCGAAGAGACAAAGTGAGAGTCAGAAGCAACATCTAGTAGCAACGCACAAGCAAAAACAAAACCTCCAAGGCTCATTCATTTGCTCATCTACACGTCTGCATATCTACACATTGGCATATCTACACTTTTACACGTCTACACGTTCGCATATCTACACATCTACACGTTCGCATATCTACACATCTACACGTTCGCATATCTACACATCTACACATTGGCATATCTACACATCTATACATTGGCATATATACACATTCACACATCTACACATCCATATATTGGTATGTGTACACATTGGCATATCTACACATCTACACATTGGCATATCTACACATCTACACATCTACACATTTGCATATCTACACATCTACACGTTCGCATATCTACACATCTATACATCTACACATTGGCATATATACACATTCACACATCTACACATTCATATATTGGTATATCTACACACTGGCATATCTACACATCTACACATTGGCATATCTACACATCTATACATTTGCATATCTACACGTTTGCATATCTACACATCTACACATTCACACATCTACACATTTGCATATCTGCACATCTACACGTGTGCATATCTACACAGACACTCCGGCAATGAACGCATGCCACGGTGATGACAAGCCAGATGAAGGAAGGCGCAGGGAGGCGGCAAGCAAGGAGCATCGCGAGATAAGACACGCACAGAGCCTTGACGCTCTCCCGAAAGGCTTCAAGACAGCTAGATGAAACGATCAGCATATATTTTCACGTGCGTTGAGGCAAGAACCCCGAAATGCATCTCTAAAACGAAAGCCCGAAAGATCACAGAACGCCAAAGCGCGTGCAAATTGCACTAGGGGATATACAGCAAACGGCAGTACGCATGAAGCATTCGCTGCACTGCCTCATAGTCCTCAAATGAACATTACAGCCCATGCAGAGACACTAACAGCGCCTTAGAGAGATGGCCAGTAAAAATACAACAGAGACGCTCTACACATTCATACACACAGCCGCGCATGCCGAGTCTCCCTCTTTCTTTCCTTCTAGCGCTCTATCGGCTGCCTCCCTGCCTCTCTCTCCCTTATTCGAATCATCTCACCTGACGTCTCTTCGCTCCTTTGCCAGAGACTGTGCAGTGGCTGCCGCGCGAGCAAGCGAGCCATCAGGGTTTGCCACAATCTTCACAGGGGATAGCTGCATCCCTGAGAATTACAACACGCCAGCACCACAAGCGCAGATTCCCAGCCTTGATGTTCCCCGAAACTGAAGCTGCAAAGATCGCGTTCAGCTCTCCTCCGTCGAAAGCCTTGGTTTTTTTTGTTTGAGTTCGCTGAAGCAGGATGGCTTAAGCAGGCAACACGCACACTGCGTGCGCGTTGGCTCAACGTTTTTTCAACAGGCCCAAAATACCCTGCAAATTACGCCTCGCTGTCTATGAGAGAGCCTCCTCCTGCCAGAGAGCCTTCGCTTCTTGCAAAATGCGAATTCAGAGCAGTAACCTGTGCATGTGTATGTGTGTGTATGTGTTTGTGTGTGTATGTATATGTATATGTGTATGTATGTGTATGTATATGTATATGTGTATGTATGTGTGCAGGTATGTACGTATGTGTATGTATGTGTGTGTATGTATATGTGTGTATGCGTGCATCTCCGTCACGACCACCACGAATGTGAGAAGGCCTTACCAGCTCTGGTAGTCTGCCCCCTAAGAAACAGGGGTTCATCGTCCACGACTTCGATCTCAACGTCTTCTTCTGCTTCTTGAGAGGGCATGAGGCCGCCCGCCTCCTCATCGTAATATGGATTCTCTTTGCTCCCCACCAAGCCGCTGCGCTGCAACTGTTGCGCCTCCCACTTGTCATAATCTGACATGAGCCTGCGCGCAAAAACAAGCTGGCTAGGCACTCACCGCGTAGGACAGCTTGCTGCTTTTCGAGGAGTGAAGCGGCGCGGGCACACTTCGCCCTTTGGCAAGCAGCACTTCCAGAAATGCATAAACAGAGCATGCGCCACCTCGTGCAACCTCCCGACGCAACACTGCAGCTAGCTAGGTAGGCTGCGCGATTTTCGGACAAAGACGATACTTCCTCTTCCTTGAATACGCTGTCTCCTCCTCATGGCTATCCGCGTTGATTTTAAGGCCTGTGATTCGCCCTAAGCCTTTTTTCTCGAGCGTTCGGGCATGTTCCTCCGCCAGAGACTCGAATAGAGCAGTTCTCGAGTTTGCTGAAAACAGACGCAACGTCTCACACCCGCGCAGAAAAGGCCTCTCTGGTTGAACCCTTGCCCCCATATACACCGTGCGAGTCTTCTTCGGAATTGGAGACTAAAAGAGCGAGAGAGAGAGAGAGAGAAAGAGAGAGAGAGAGAGACGAAGGGATGGTGGGAAACGCTGGGGGGCCTCAAGACCAAAGCCATATTTTGTACGCCAGCAGCAAACGCTGCATGCAGCAGCGAGAAAAAAAGCAACAAAAGGCTCGAGCCGCGTCTACACGACGAAGAAAGGGACTTCTAACGCGGCCCGCACATATATACAAACATACAGATACAGATACAGATAGACACATATACACGTACACGTACATACACATACACATACATACACATACACATACATACATATACACACATATATACACATGCACATACAGATACAAATACACATACATACATACACATGCACATACACATACATACATACACATACATACATACATACATATACACACATACACATGCACATACATACATATACATACATACATATACAGATGCAGATAGACACATATACACGTACACATACATACACATACATACATACATACATATACACACATACACATGCACATACATACATATACATACATACATATACAGATACAGATAGACACACATACACGTACACATACATACACATACACATACCTACATATACACACATACATACACATGCACATACACATACATACATACATACAGATACAGATACAGATAGACACACATACACGTACACATATATACACATACACATACATACATACACATATATACATACATACATACACATACAGATACAAATACACATACATACATACACATGCACATACACATACATACATACACATACATACACATACATACATACATACACATACATACATACATACATACACATACATACACATACATACATATACATACATACATACACATACAGATACACATACATACATACATACATACATACACATACAAATACATATACACCTACACATATATAGATATGCCTATGCGCAACAGACGTACCCGTCCCCGCAGCTATATTCCTCGGCTTCAGATCTCTGCCAGTCTCCTGATCAACCTCGCGCATGGTGAGCGACAGACGCGAACCTGCAATGGCATGTACCTTCACCTTAACGAGCTGGCCCTTACGAACGGCATCCCTGTGCACAAGAACCCCCAACCACACGCTGCTAGCCTTGATGCGGTTTGCCTCCATAAGCACCCCTCCATGTAAGGCAGCAACTCCGCAGCTGCCTATAGATGAATGCCAGTCTCTTCACGCAGCCAGCCCTCGACCCTTTGCTCTTGCTTGCTGTCTGCTTGGTCTACTAGTCTGTCTGGAACTGTCTATCTGCCAGAGTCTGTCTCTCGGTTTGTCTACGTGTGTCCGCCCGCCCAATACACCCCTCCCTCCCTCCCCCGTCTCTCTCCTCGACTCGACACCTTTTGCTTCCGAGTAGGCACTTCGAGCTGCGCGCGCCCCTGCCTCTAGCTGAAAACGAACGCCTCTCCCCTGAAACTAGAAGCGTTCAGAAGGAGATCAAGCTTGCTATCTTACGCGCTGACGCAAGGGCCCCCATCAGCTCTGCTCATATCGGCTGCATGCAGCAACCCCTCCTTGCGGCCTTCTGCCAAATCCAGCTGCACGAAGGCTCCATACTCCATAACGCGCGATACCACGCCGTCGTAGATCCCATACCTCTCCAGAGGGGCCCCCCTCCTTCCGCAAAAGTTCAAGCTGCTATCTGCTGCTGCGGAGACCGTTGCTGCAGCTGAGCCTCCCCCCACAGGCAGCGCATTCGCACCGCTTGCACTGAAGCTGCCCTTTCCGCCGCCGTCGCCATTGCCGCTGCTGCTCGCGTTGGTGCTTCCCCAGTAACCAGGACCGTCCCTGGCCTTGTTGTAGGCTTCCTGCTGCTCTCGCAGCAGCTCCTTCTCGTCCTTCTCACGCTGCAGCAGCCGCTGGGCTGCTGCAGACAGAGGAGCGTGCTCGTCCGGTCGCGTGAGCTGCAGCTCTGCCCTGTCAAAGCGGTTCTGCATGCAGAGACCAGGGAACTTCAGCTCCTTCTCCGTGGGGGGATGTTGAGAAACGGAGAAGGCGCTCGCAGGAAGCGTCTTCACGCCGCTATCGCCGCCAGCAGATGCGTCCTCGCTGTCTGCAGCAACACGTGCCGGAGGACTGCTGCTCGAGGCATCCTTCGAGCTCGCAGAGCTGGTGTTGCCGTCACGCCTCTTTGCGTTCTTCGTCTTCTCCACATACTTGGAGATGGCCGTGTACAGGCTGACTGCCAAAGCCTGCGTGACTGCCGAGCCGTTGGCTTTCAGCTTCGTACGAAACTCCTCCAACGACTGAGACTCTTCGCCCAAATGCAGCACAAACTCCGCGAGGTCCTACAGTCCAGCGCGCAGACATGCCCCGAACGAAAACGGCCAATGAGGTGTATGTATGTACGAGCATACATGCATACATACATATACATATACACATATATACATATATACAAGCATACATACATATATACATGTATACAAGCATACATACATACATATATGCATACAGGCAGGCAGGCAGGCAGACTCATATGAACGAAAATATATATATACATATTCATTCATCTATACACATACGCACGCACGTACATACATACACCTCGGCAGGGGGACACGCAGGCAAGCCGCAGTTGCGCAGGAGAGCACTTTTCACCATGATAACCACAAGTTTTACAGAATTTGAAATCGTAATGTCTTATGCGGCAGGCTTGGACCCCACAAGAAAAGAAAACATAGTCCAGGCGCTTCTACGTTTAAGCTAAGGGTTACTGCCCGTGGCGCGCACCTTGTCGCTGATCCCCCAGTGATTGTGCAGCTCAGTGGCGATACGGGAAATCTGGCTTAGTCGCTCAAGCTGATCCATGCTGCCTGCACGCCTTGTTTCTGCGCTTCGACCTCGACTCCGATGACTGCTGGACACGCGAACGACAGCAAACGTCTCAGATGGAGACACCTCGGCCAGCCGGAAGCAACCTGTGACCGCCCTGAAGGAAAAAAGCGGCGAAAACTCCAGCAGGATGTCCTCTTTCCTGCGCCTAGGCAGGCTGCGAGGAGCGCCGCATGCAGGGCCCTAGCCCCCTTCCACTAAAATACTGTTATACTTCCTTCTGTGTATCCGAAGGTCAACAAATAGCAGACTCCAAAATGCATTTTCTCTGCAATACACCATTTAGACCACCGTCGGTGGCTGCTGCTGCTGCCTTCACCACAAGGCGTTGCTGCTCGCCGTTGCGCATGCAGTCCTCGGGCAGGAGCAGCCTGCATTGACTTCCTTGGCTGCCTAATGTATTTTCGCTCGCTGATTCGGCACCACGAGATACCATTAGATAATCTGCCGTTGTATAAAAGTAATTGCGCTGAGTCCGCACCACACTTCTTTATCTAGCGCGACGGAGCCTCCTCAGCACAGAAGACGTTATGCTCTTTTCCAAGCACATCCTGGTGGATGCGCCTTCTCTGCTTCACAACTCGGTCTGCTATATCTCTCCTGGATGAGAACCTTAAGAGGGCAGCCCCTGTGCAGTGTGTAAACTTTCAAGAGTGAACTTACCGTTAGGTTGTTGCTGGAGCGTGGCATGCCACAGTACATGCGTAGCGGGCTATGCTAGAGTTGAGCACTCTCTGCTACATTCGTGAAATTGAAAAAAACTGGAAAGACCTGAATAATGGGTGAGGGTATTCCTACACTTGCTTCATGGTAGAGGACTGATACCTCGATACAAGTAGACTCAACGTTATGTCTGCCCGTGTGTTTGCGGCAGCTACTGAGTGCAACTAGTTAAGGTGATCGAAGAATTTATAGGAGCGATTGTGCGCCCCGCAGCTGTCCCTTTACTCTAATTTTAAGAGCTCTGAGGGACACAGGGCAAGGGAGGGTGGAATTCCTTACGAAAACCACTTGGCAAAGTTCCAGCAGGTTTGTATTGAATTGGCAGTTGAGCGCCTCCTGAACTTTCACATTTGGTAGCACTGCATGGTTCGATGCAGCTATTGTTCGCCCATTCTCTGATTGTACATGCAGTAAGATGACACGTTCCCTTGCAATTGCTCTCTGTATTCGATCGAGCCTTTTCGAAATCCAATAATTTTATTTTCTTGTGCAACCGCCTAGGAAAGACTGCATCCCTACACGACCGAAGCTGACGGTGGCACAACACCTGTGGGGGCATATGCTGGCCTGCAAGCTGCTGTGAATGCAGATACTCCCTAGCTGGTGGAATACATGATTCTTCAGCCGGAAAATTGTCTATACTTGCGTCGACGGTGTTAGGCTGGCCATTTAAAGATGACTGTCATATGAATGGACTCAACTATTCGAAGATTTCGTCTGCTGGTAGGAGATGTACCTCGCTTTGTACCGTGCAGATAAAGAGGAACGAGTGTTCCTTGCGGCATGATTATTGGAGTGAAAGGCACTTAGACGGTGGCTTTAGTAATGTATGTGGCGTCGTCTCATGTATTACTATAGTTCAAGCCGTTGTACAAAGCCCTGACTAATCGTGGAATGCCAAGATGAGCTCAACAGCGAGCTCGAGGACTTGAGGTATCTGAACCACAAGATTCAATCAGTAGGTCGCTGTATTAGATGAAACTGCAGCACACCAGAGCCATAACGCAGCCGAGCAGGTGCTTTGTTCGTGGATCATCTTTAAATCTCCCCGCAGTGCCACGTCAGGTGGTCGCAAGATACGCAACGACTCAGGCAGTAATCCACTGACCCGTGGGGCTTTCGCAAAATACCGTGCGTGGTATGCGTTTGAAACCTATTCATCCACTGCAAACACCACAACTCAGAATGGCGAGAGGGTGCAGCACTACTACGTTGGGGATGGCATGCTGTAGTTAAAGTATAACTCTGAGAACCCGTCGGTTGTACCAAAGGTTGCCTTGGCTGTAATTGTATGCAGTATTGCTCTCAGGCGTAGTGGCACTGCTGCAGTTGTGTACTTTTTACTGCTTTTCTTTCATTTTTTGTGTTGGGTGAATTCATTTAGCAAGAGATTCACAGGTTCAGCGCTCCGATGACTGCAAACCATTGTGCTACCGCGGTCATGATGGTTTGATCCATCTTAGTTGATGGCTACTGGGTGTGCCTTTCTTCTCTTCGATTTCACTGTATAGAGTGATGCACCCATATGATGTCTTTGTTTCAGTATGTTACGTTTCTACTTGCATGGTGAGTAGCAATAATGCTCGAACTCTTCCGCTGCCCTGCACGCAGCTGGTCCGCATGGGTGGTACGGAACACGAGGACGTATGTTTTAAAATGGGAGAGAAGATGTGCTGGGAAAAAATGCACTTCAACACTACCTACAGCACTGCGTATACGTAAATAATGATAAAAAAACTAGCTAATTGGTTTTTTTCCGAGGGTGTAATGCTGTGTGCGTGTGCGCTGGATGCTGTGTACAACTAGCTGGACCTGCATGGAGTTCTAATAAAGCATCCAAGCTTACACTCTCCTCTCATGTCGGGAACTCTGAGGGTCACGAGCAGAAGCACCGCTCTTGGAAACCACTCAATAACTTTCTAATTAGTCCGTAATGATTCTGTAGTACATGGAGCAATCCTTTTCGTGCGCCTGGGTTCCGTAATTAGAGAATGACAGGAGAATGACGTTTGGAGCATGTATTCAAGAGTATTTTGATAAGCCTTAGTACGCTTTCGGGGACAAAGGCTTGATTTTGGAGACCCTTGGCCGAGTGGCCGTGTAGCCCAGTAGCTAGGATGCATGCTGGTGCATCCACTGAGCAACTCCGCGCACACAAACTACACATTTGTGACATTCAAGGGATGCCCTAACTTCCAATCCAAAACATCGGATCGAAAGTTACTAGTGTCTTTGCAAACTGCTCCGCACTCTGTTCTTTGAGCCCCTCAGGGTTCGCGCCTGAGAGGAGAGAAGCTGCAACGCGTAGCGCAGCTGCTTCCTTAACGCACTCCGAGCACTCACAACTTGTTGTTCATAGTGCCTATTGGACTAGCTCGAATATTGATTCTGATGGTGGCGAGTTAACAGCAATCTGCTAGAAATGTGTACGAACAGCTAAACCAACCAGAAAATTCTCGATTGATTGCTAGATAAGTATGACTTCTGTGGTAGAAAGTGCCTCTGTGTAGCTTGTCCCTGTGCAGTACTTACGCTAGGTGGACTTTGCAGGACATGGAACATATGAAGCGAGCTTGCACTACAATTGCGCCTCCAGCTGGCTTCTTCTCAGTTTAAGGCGCACGCTATTTACGTGCTCCTAAAGATACAAGAGCGCAACACGTCCATATCCCTTTTGGGCTGTCAGCCCTGAAGTCATTGTTGGATCATCAGGATCTTGCACCACATGAATGGGTGGGGAAGGATGCTACTTCAGACATTGTTATATGCGTGTTATTCCCCCACACTCACTCATAACACGGAGAGTAAGGCTCAATATGGGAAGTGTTGAATAATAACAAAGTAAACAATTCATTTTCCAGCTGGCTGCTGGTGGCTGAAGAGGAACTGACGTCCTCAGGGCCACTGGAAAGGCTACTGTTCAGAATTCCCACCGTACATTAAACGCATCAATTGTGGGTCGAGGCAGGGAAACAACGCTTGAACAGTTCTTAAGACTTGAACTGGCATAGAGCTGGCTCTTCCTTTGAAGTACCGATTCTTCTGGAAAGACGAAGGCTCTTCTTGTAGGTGGTGGGATCTTATTTGCAGACATACAGCCCCCGGCCTTGGGAGCGGAAACGAGTCGGAGCCGATAATGCCACGTGTGTCTTTGTGGAATGATTGCGTTGATTTATGAAACAGCAAGAGAAATTTATTCTTGCGTGAGACAGAGTTTGCCGGGGCTTTCAAAAGGCTTCATCGAAGTGATCTCGGCTATGGGATCCCCACACGCGTGCACTCAGTGCACGTTGGAGGCTTTTGCTACCCCACCATGAGAAATAGGCTCAAGACAGCACCGAAACTCGAGAGGAAGGACAACTCTAAGAACGAAATATAGTTGGGGGTTTGGATATGCGAAGAGCGCTTATAGGGTAGCGAAGGAGCAACCTGTACTCGAGCTGCAGCGCTTGCTCGGAGTGCATCCGAAGCTCATAGAGTTTTTTCAAGATCCTTGGGCGTATCAGCATTACTGGACAGGTGGATTTCCTGCTTTCCAGGAAAGGCGTGTCGAGTAGTGAATACCTCACCAACAATGAATTGCTATACCTTGTGTGGTGTAACTCGCATGTTTATTTTGCTTTTCCACATACATCTAACCGATTGTGGTAAAATACTCGCAAAAAATATGGCACTGAGCCCGACTATTGCTGTTTGCCATGCTCCTGTCTCCCTTCTGCTCTTCTTGCGGAAGGGTGCCTCTGTGGGTCATTGGGACTGAGTTCCATCATCGAGCTAAGTTCAAGAAACAAGATTTAAGAGTTTTTCAGATTAATGAAATGTATGTTGTGCTCTGTGAAGTACAGTAGACTGCGGTGTGGGCTGCTGATGTACATTCCAAGACATTCAGCATCGCAAGCTGGTATGGAATGAAACTGAAAACTATTTAGCACGCGCAGCTTAAGGCATCATGTGCTGCGAAAAGCATTCGTCGAGAGCTTGGATAACTGACACTTTGTGGAAAACAGCTTCGTGCAAGCTCGACACCTTTGCAAAGCGTCAGGCTGCCTATGGCTCTCGGGGACCCAAGTGCGACTCTTTTATTCTACGTTTTTGAGTGTTTGAACGGCATGTTGCAAGGCACTATTTGGCATCCCCGCCTTTTGTCACCTTATTACACAAGCAAACAGCGCTCTGATAGCAAAGAAAGCTCATCAGATTTCAGAGTTGTCCATCGTGTGAATGAGAGAGGGTGCGACATAAGCTTAGGAGAC